AGAGAGAGAGAGAGGCAAATGTACACAGCAATAACAAACCCTCACTACAGATAAAAGCCCACAATGAACAGGAGCAAGGTAATGACTGACAATTCCGTGCATTTTGCAGTGCCTCTTTGTTTGGATTAGTCATAAACAGCATCAATAATCTCATTGGAGAGGAGTCACTATTTCAGTGTGCTCTTCCTGCTCATTCAGAGGTGGGGACATTGTGCCTCGCTGCTATTGATTGAGCCATGCAGTATTGGCGCTGCTCCTCAGCTGTTAAGTACAGCTTATCAGATTCCTGACAGCCGGGTTCATAGTTGAGGAGAAAGGTTAGGAGCTGTCATCTCTAGTGAGCATGAGAACATGGAAAACTTGAGCCACAGTTTGTTTTACCAGGGCTGTAAGCAAAAGCTAACTATCTTTACAGAGGAACAGAAGGGAATGATGGATAGAGACTCAGTTAATTCAGATTTTTTTTTTCTTCTTTGGGATTTATATGTTATTTATATTCAATACTTTTCATCCAAAGGCAGGAACTATAGCAAAGGTATGAAATGTAAGGTAGCTTCCTATCTAGGGTAAAACAGTTAAGATTTCATTAGTTTTGTTTTTCCTGTCATCTCATTTTTAGTTGTTCTATTTCTTCTGCTCAGTCATCCTCTTGATTGATCTGTGTAACTGAATGAGTAATAACTGGGGAGATCATTTTCACAATGGAAAGACTGTGGTGAGAAACTGTATCGAGGAATTTGTTTAATCAGAACAAACAAATGAGGGCAAGAGCACACAGTCTCACACATCAGGACACAAGCCTTGTTAATGTGAGTTGGGCTTGACAGCTACTGCCAGGGCCCCTTAGCTGGAAAGCAGGTTGCTTCAGCTTCTCTTCTGAAAACATGTAATGTTTCAAAGCATCTAGAGGAATAACAGCACTTGCCACAGTTCAGAAAAGAGGATCTGGCAATACATGCGTAAGACTGAATAAAAACTCCTGTAGCCATGCTCCAAAAGGGAAAAAGAAAAACAAGCTGAAGCAGCATCAGGAGGCAGATTGGCCTGTGCTGCCGAGTCACTCCGAGGCAAGACAGAGCTAATCAGCCATCTCCCGCCGGTGTGCATGAACAGGCACCCACTGTGCTGGAAAAAGTGCTCTGCTCCGACAGCACACAGCTCTGCAGCATCCACCACGGCGCTGCGAGCGGATGAAGGCAGAACGTCAAAATGCCCCTGGATACTGCCTTGGCCATTCCTGGCTAATGCACGAACAAGCCCATCTGTACCCCAGGATAAAAAGCAGCCAAGAAAAGAGAGGAACGTTATCAGAGAGGCACCCACCGGCTGGCGGAAGCTCATACTCTACTTCCAGCACTACCCTTTCGCCCACGTTTTTCAGCAGGCTTATGATCTCATCATGCCTCAGCTTGGTCAGGTTAATGCCATTCACCGACTTGATGTAATCCCCGACGTTCAGCTGGTCACTTCTGCGAATAAAGAAGGGAAAAAAAAACCAAAACAGCGGTAGCACAAAGCGTCTGCTATGCTCAGCTTGGATGTGCCTGACAAACCTTTGGTATCTGAGGACCTTCTGAACAAGCCACCAACGCTCAGCTATCTTAGCTGTCTGATTGCTTGTGCCTGCTATCAGAGGGAAGTGCTAAAACTGAAGCATCTATCTTTCCCTGTGGCAAGTGTTCAGATCTCTACACAAGCAACAATTGCAGTATGCGTGTTCACAGCCTCTCTTTTTGTTGCTCAATCCCCATTCGTGTAGAGTAATCAGTCAAAGAGAAGCATACCAAGAGCTGTCTGAAAAAAAATCCATCAGGAAAAAAGAAAACACCTTTCCTTTTGCCTGTTTTCTGCAAAATTGTTCAATTACTCCTTCCCTTTCTTTGCTTCTTGGAGCCTTTCTTCTCCCATTCCTTTTCTGAGCCAATAATGTTATTTAACACACTCAGTATTTAGGACAGATATAATATTAAAGCACTTAGCTTGATCAAGATGTATTGTACCATGCAGCCCTCCTGACAAGGCCGCCTAATTTCACAGAATCCAAATATCCCTACACAAAATTTCAGAGCATAATTGTACAGAGCATGAGAAATAACTCAAAATAGAAGACATTCTACTTACTGAAACAACAACTGTGCATTCTGGCGCACTTGAAAAAAGGGAGTTAGGTGCCAACTATGTTAATTATAACCATATTCATTCAGTAGCTAGAAGATCCAACTATTGCTTTCCAGTTCCATTTCCATTTCTCACCTTGCGGCCAGTCCTCCCGGCCTCAGATTGGAGACTCTTGGTTTTCCATCTTTGTCCGTGCCACCTGAAATGGTTAACCCAAGGGTGCTTCCTTCCTTCTTAATCAACTCCACAATGGTCACCCCTCTGAACTCCTCTGAAAGATCAGGAATAAAGGCAAACATCTCAGTGGAAGACACATTCCTCCCAATCCCAAGGACACCCTTTTCCTACAGGTGGTGGGAGAGCAGACCTGGGATGATTTATACAATTAGCTTCCATTGATTTCAAATGAAGTTGTGAAACAGAAGTGTGTCCTGGTGGACCCACAACAGTGGAGGGAAATCATTTGCATGCAGGTCTTTCAGGCAAGACCAAGCAGGACAAGGCAGAGGAGTGAGGGGTTAGTGAGAGGATTAAAACTTTGTGTTTCAAGGCAGTGGAAGGACTCTAAACCAGGGTGATGGGATCCAGGCAGTGGTCCAGGGACACTACTTCAGGAACTATGTTTGATATGGAGTGCGGTGGGTGTTAGGAGAGCTGCACGACAGTCACAGTTACCAGGTAGGAGAATGCTGTGGACCTGTAGTAGCTGCCTGGATGGACAGAATAGGGTGGGTCTTAAAATATTGTGATTAAAAAAAAAACATAACAAGACATCAATATAGTTGGGAGATAAAGAAAATAACCTGGAAAGGGGGTGGGATCCTGCCACAAGCAGAAGAAGGAGAGGGAGGCAAGACCTTCAATTCATTCACAGCAGTTTCCCCACCCATCTGCACCTGGTCTAAGTCAAACTTCCTCCATATTATCCATCTCATCTACAGCTAGAATTGAAGATGTGAGTCACTTTTAAAATATAACTGGTTCCATGTGCACTGCAAGCCATAATACATCTGGCAGGGTCAGGTTTAGGGGATGCACACCCCACACCTGCTGCACCAGTACCACTCCTCCATTTGCTGTGGGCAGCGTGCATTTCACCTTCCTTTAGTCCAAGACAACACTCTTGTTTGTCCAGCACCTATAAATAAGCCTGACCTGATGCCATTTTTGATCCCATAACAGCTCACGTCTTGGTTTTACAAAAACAGGATCCCTAAACTATTCCAGTTTCTGGATTTGACATGGAGAAGAGGAGTAAGCTAATGGGAGAGCCAGCACCAGCTCAAGGAAAAGTCCAAGACCTCTGTGGACTTTGCAAAAGGCAGCTCTGCATTAATCCACATGACAGCACTCACACTCTTTGCTCAGAGGAGGACTAGCCCTGGGACAAATCAGTTTACTTCCACACCTTGCAAGAGCCTCCTCTAAGAAGCTTTTGCAGAACTTGTCTACAACATGATCTATCCACCTCCACTGTCTTTGGGTACTGGCATCCTCCACAATTTTCCAGGAGGAAAACAGTTTCCCTCATACAGGATGCCTTTCTTGAGAGTGTGCAGGTGAAGGAGGTGATGGGCATTGGCATCACACAGCAAACAGCAGCCCCACAGCTGTGGACTAAACTCACACTGGCCCAGGAGTTCATTTGCACAGAAAACCCCATCAAGCTTAAATGAGGTGCTCTACTTGGAAAGGGAACATTGGAAATCTCTTGCATGCTATGATTTCCAGAGTAAGGCAGCGTCACTTAAATAACACATTGACACAGAAGATCCATGTTGGTGCAGGGTTTCCCCCCTCCATCCTCTTTCACTGGGAGAAAACATGGTGTCATTTGGCACTGTGGTTCCTCTTCACTAGCACTTTGCTCCTTGTGTAAGGGCACCATGACACCAGAAATTGCACTTCACTGAGTTCTGCTATGCACTACCTGTTTTGCAAAGCACTTCCAAGAATAATCTGTGCACTTGATTGATGTGAGTGGGGAACCTCTTTGCCATTTAGCACCAGTCTGGAAGGCGTCTAGGCACTGCTGGTCACCCATTTAACATGGCACTGGCAGCTTGTTGTAAACCATCAGGTCCATAATGCTTCTGCTCTTTAAACTCAGTTTTGATCCCTTGCCAACTACAGTAACTTAGTTTTCAATTTACCAACCCAGAATCCCAGGGGCTGCCAGAAACTTTGTGGGGGCTTCCTGCCGTGCTGGAAGGAACATCATCCGGCACTATCCTGCAAATTTCCTCTCAGCTACAGACATGACTGATCAACACAGATGGTGCCGCAAGGGGAGATTATGAGCTCTTCAATGGGGTTTAATTTTGATCCTTGATAAGTGTTTAAAATGAGAACTCCCACAGTGCAATTACCCATTGTTATGGGTTCAAGGAGAAATCATTGCTCTGAAAAAAAGGCAAGTCCCTGAGATCAATCTGTCAGGGTAAGCAATAAGGGATTTTGACCAATGCCTCCATAAATCTACTGCTGCTATCACAGACAGACAGAGATGTAAAAGTAAGCTGGTTAAGCATGATCAGGTTCTTCAAGACATAGGCTTTTAGCGACATATGAGAATAGTCTTGGATTTCTTCTACTGGCATATCTGCTTGGATTTTGCTGCTCAAAGCATCCCAGGGCACAAAGAGCACACTTGAATTTTGCCCTTCCCATTGAGATGTCTTGAGCTGGGGTTGTTGGACATTGGCTCTTGTGAGCAGGGACTCAGACTCTCTCCATCAGGGCTGTGGTACAGTGGCAATGTCTTGCAGAAGCCCCAGAGGATGCAGAATATCCCCTAGAAAAATTGCTGAATGATGAAGCAATAGCAAAAGGGTTCCATTTCCTCCCCATCACCTACAACATACTAAATCAAACCTCCGACTGGGTCATTAATGGTAAAAAGCCAAAATCAAGCCCTGGGCTTTATTAGGAAGAAGGGTTGTCCAAAGCAGCCCATCCAAACCTGCTGGCAAAGCTCAGCACCAATTGAGGAAAACGTACTACCATTTCTCCAGTCCCTCTTCAGCCCCCAGGGGTGTTTCTGCACAATAAGGTTTATCTCACACAAAAGTCTGCTGTGACTGACTAAATATCAAAACAAACTTAGTCACATGCGGGAAATATGAAGCTGCCAGACACTGCCAGTCTCCCTCCCCAACCAGCCTCCCTGCGCACCCAGCAAGCTCAGATGTGGCAGAGCTAATTCCTTGTCTCCTTTGCTGCTGTCTTCTCCTTTGTGGGTGTCAGCCCAGCACAGGAACCAGTCCTTTTCCAGCTCCCTGTACCACCATCAACAGCTCCACACCAGACTGTGATTGCACCAGTAACATACCATTCACTGAGACCAGTTACTACCATCCATTTCTGCCCTCCAGCAAAAACCTTGCTGATAGTTGCACCAAAATGGGTGTTTTCAAAGGTTTTACCCATTTTAGGGGTAGCCAGGTAAAGTGTAATGGATGCCCTGATGTTTTGGAGCAGAAGCTGTTCCCCTCCTTTACCTGGGATGCTTTGCCTCCTGGAGACCAGGGCTGCGTCCATCCCACCAGAGTCCTTGCTCCCCTTCGAGTAAGGGCCATCGTCTGTGAACAGAGCAAACACAGAGGCTGAAATTAGTACCAAAAGCAACAAACAACAGAACAAGAGCACTTTAAAAAGTTTGTCCTGGTGACACCAGAATTGGGATCACACCTGTATCGCAGACTGCAGGCAAAGAAAACCATTACCAGCTCTGGTTTTGCACTGTGTGGGCTACCTTGATTTTTAGAGAGGGAGGGAAAGAAACAAGAAGGCAATAACATTATCTGATTTATTCTTCTTGGAGCTAATCCATTAGGACAGAACAAAATTCCCTTACTCCTGTAATTATGTGGAACAGCTGAGGACAGAGAAAGCTGTGGCATTAGTCTCACAAGTTTTAAGCCTGTCATTATGCTTGTGAAGAAACTTACGGTCTTTGGAAATAGAGTTATACATCAGGACACTAACAGGGCACTAAATCACTATACTTGAATAAAATTGCCTATTCTTATAGATCCCATTATTTCAAAGTCACATTTTCCTGCTGCTGTTCCAGCCCCTATAAAATATAGAGAGCATGTTCAGCTAAGTGATTAAAAAAAAAAAAATTAAAAAAAAAAAAAAATACAGAGGAAAGAGAAAATAGTATTATGTACTATAAATGCACTGCCTCGCATAAGCTGAAGTTTAAATTTAAAGTATTTAAATATCTTTGTATTCTCCTGCTGGAAGACTCCTATATGGCATAGAGGTTATTTGCAGAGAAGGGAGCATGCTTCTGAAGATTTCGTTGTCATCCATCTAAAATGTCTATTTTTATAGCATTTCCTAAAAAGCTGATGCCTTTTCGATCAATAATTTTCAGTAACCAAGTAGTATCAAGTAACTTCCATTCTCAGTGACCACATTCCTGGATTGCCCCTCCCAATTTTTCAATAACTGTGAAGGTTTAGAAGTTGTACATGATATTATAAATATGGGTTATTGAAAACCTTACCCATTTACAGCTGTCTGTAGCCTTTAAGTAACTTACATTTAAGTAACAGAGAACTTTTTGTCTTGCTGCGTAAAAAGGGAATAATGACTTTTGTTCAGCTCCATTCTAGACAGTGGTCTGTACACAGAGAAATTAAAACCCAATATTAAATTTGCTGTCAGCCCACTTTCCCCACAAACAGAAAAATGATCGTGGAAATTGAATCATGTGGGTTACACTTAACCACTAGGAGGGGAATTTTGCTCAAGAGCTTGAATAATTTTTAAAAGTAAAATGAAGTTCCACTTCAAGTTATTTCCAAAAAAGGAAAAAAAAAAAATCTAGTGTTAATTCTTGTTGCCCCAGCTGAAGTGACTTCACAAGGTGACAAAATTCAGTGCAAAGTCTCAGCTGACTCAAGTCTGAACTTTCAAACATAAAAAGTTTCAGCTAAAAAATAAACACTATTTAGTTTTTCAGTCCAAATTTTGCAGCCCATAGAGGAAAAGCATAGATATCCAGATCTTGGACTCTTCTGCATCACTTTGAACACTTTTCCATCACTGCTAAACTGAAGATTTCTAATGAAGCAAGAACTAGCACTTGGCATTAGACCATCACCAAGCTATGCCAAGCCATTCCTGCCAAAACACATTGAACCTTGATACCCAAGCATCCAGGACCTCTGTGAAACAAGGGAGCACAGCTCTGCCTTTCAAAAAATTAAGGGGCAGAACAGATAGGATAAACTAGCACTGTCCTGATCATGGAGATCTTGCAGTGCTAGTCAATGCTGACAGTGAAAGCAGCAGCACTTGGTTAGAGAATTACAGCAAGCACCAAGGTGAGCCACTGATTTCAGATAGATGCTGGTACTGCCTGGCATCAACTCTAAGAGCAGAAGGCTTGAAAGTGAAATCTGCATTTTTAATAGCAATGGTTCTTTGGGTGGGTCAAGGTTAATCTGAGTTTAATGACTGCAGAAAGAAGTTTAATTTACTTGGGACAGTTCAGCTCCAGCATCCAATTTTTTTTAATTTTTTTTTTTAAAAAGCAAAGCCCCACACCAACTCTTCTTCAGTAGCTGTTTGATAGTGATAAAGATTCAGAGCTTTCAATCTCTGCCACTGTTGGCCATGTTAATCTTAATTTCTCTCTCTGGAAGGTTTTTCCTAATGTCCTGCCTTACCCTCTCTCTGTCACTCATACCTTGCAGAACTGCAGAGTCAGAAAACAGGGGATGGTTTAGGAGTATAAAACAAGGCGGCATTTCCCAGGGGAGCAGCAGGACAATGTTGATTTAACTACTGCCTGCCCACACCACTCAGCCCAGCAGCTACAACCTCCCTTTATTTCTTTCCCAAATGCAGCAGCATATTGGAAGAGAAACCCCAAAACAGCAGCTGAGGAAACCCAGCATGAGGTTGCTTTTCAGCACCAGAAGTAAGTCTGCAAAAGGCACCTGAAAAATACCCTGGGACATCTAGAGCTGGAGCCTCTCAATGCCATTGGAGCATCAGTGTGCCTTTGGTCACACAGGACACTGCAGATGGTGAGGACCACCCCAGCATGCCGATGCCTTCCACCTCAGAGCATGGCTGCTAGCTCTGACCCCAGGCAGCATGCTCAAGACAGCAATGTTCTGCTGCAAAGGGGATTCCTGCATTCCCGGAAAACCACGCGAGATGGTTTAAAGCCAACTCGATAATCTGCTGGCAAAGTAAAGCAGTCAACCATCTGCTTCACATAAACACACCACCCTGGACCATACAGCCACCAGCGCCTTTCTGTGCTTCCCATCCCCATTGTGACCCCAATCAATATTGATATGAAACCCCAGTCTGGTAACAGTTACCCTTCCGACCCCAACAGCTGCTAGCAAATGTGCCTTGGCTTCCATTTCAGGAAGCAACCAGGTTGCCCATGCATTAACAACAGCTTCCACCACCCAACAAGTGGCCAAGAGCAGCGACCTGAGCTACAGCCAGTGCCGGCAATTAGGAACACACCCCCTGCACAGTCCTGCGCTGCTTCACTGACAGCCGTCTCAGCCAGCAAATAATTAGCACCGTGGCTCCCCTTCTTCTCTTGCTTCTCCCTTCCAAACTCAGTTGATTATGCAAAAAATGTTTGGTTTTTTCGCTCATTATCTGGCTAAAATGTTTGAACAGGAAAGGAAACTGCCACACGCCGCCTGCCGAAGTGTGAATTGGCATTTGCGTGCATTAGCATCCCTGCCGCGTGGCTCTTTGTTCATTTTCAGCCAATTTCCTGCTCTGCCACTCAAGCTGGCATTAATGGAGGCACTTCTTTCTGAGCTTTTTTTTCCTTTTCTCTGTGTATGTGTGTGGGGGGGGGGTACTTTGTTTTTTTAAAAAATAAATTCCTTATCTTTATGCTCTTAAGTCATTTCTCCTGCCTAGCACAGCAAGGTTGGTAACTAGCCTGATTGCTCAGTCGGCTCAAATCACAGCACCAGCCCAAGCACTGAAAATTCATGAATCTTTAAAATTGGGAAAATAGCTCATTTTTTTTAAGCTTGCACACGTTCTTTTTGCAAGCAATCAGTGCTGGAGCCATTAGAGGTGTATTTTTCAAGCTTTTTCTCTTGTACCAAGAGGGCCAAAAAATTTCCAAAGAAAAAAACTGTGTAATTGGTGATTTTCAAGCAGCAGTGTTAATGCTGGCTCTAGATTTTTCAGAAAATCTCACCAAGTACATAATACCCTCAATAAAACTGAGAGCGCAACACTTCCATATATTGATCCCATGGGAATCTGTGAAAATACAGAAAAGTTCCTGTAAGTTCTTTGACAATAGTTTTTGCCATTTCAATGTCTCACTAACATCAGGGAGAGAAGAGTTCCCAAGTCCTTACCCTCCACACGTGGCCCTGAACTCTCCTCTCCTGCAGCAAGCGTCTTACAGTAGCATACATCTCATACAGTGACAAAAAAAAGCTAATCCTATCTCATTCCCTCAAAAACAAACTGGACAGATGAAAGAGTAGGAAAAATACCTCCTTGCTTCAGCTGAAGTATCAGGAGCAGGAAGGAGGGAAGGTCAAGGCAAACTCAGTATCCCACCCTGCTGCCAGACCGTTAATGGCAGCTCTCAGCAGGGCCCGTAGTCAATGGCACTTCAGTGGCCCTCGTACAACATGTCACCTCCAGCCATGGCACTGTAATATTTTATGTTGTCCCTGTTTAATTGAGATCGTACCAGTAGCTTCCAGGCAAGATAATCCAGGAGCTTAAGACCCTCACTGGAAGCACTGTCCCCTTGACAGGCAGCATAGAAAGTGGCACAGGTTTTCCCAGGGCGGATGAGGTGGAAGTAGAGGTGAGCAAAATACAGGGATTTTCCAGGAACTTGTACCCAAACAAAAGAAAATTGGCACATTGAGTCTTCCTCTGTCTCTTCCACAGGGGAAATCCCAGCTGGGATTCAGGGCAGGGCAGCAAGGAGCAGCTAATGCCCTGCAAATCCGCTCAGCCATGCAGCAACAGCCTGGCACAGGAACGCCGCGACTCCCAAAGATAGCCCAGATCAGACTGAGTCTAACTCCTGAGCAGAGCAGGCAGCTCAGCCTTGGTAGGAAACCATCTCTTTCCAGAAGAGTCCTGTTGTGCACAAGATAAAGCACAGAGTCAAGAGAGGGGAAGAAAGAAGAAAAAAGGAAAGAAAAGAAAGGTGAGGTCGCATTTGAACTGTTTCATTGCCTGCTCTTCCATTTCTCAGGATACTTTTTTTTTTTTTCCCATTCCCTGGCTTAGCATCTCACCACTGAATGTATTGCCTGGGAAACCAGGCTCCCCAACTGCGAGGTGCAGCCATTCCCTCCTCCTTCCCCAGATCATACTGGGAGGTACTGGAGAGGCACTGGCAGCAGCATGGAGAGCAAGGGCTGCCCAAAGATTAGTCTCTCAGAGATTAATCAGCTTGGGGTTATATAGCCAGAGCTCTGCTACTTGCTTCATCCTTCATGAAGCTTCATGCTTCATTCGGCAGCTCAGCTCCAGCAATGGCCACAGGGCCATAAAAATGCCCTGTCACCTGCTCTGCCACCGTTTTTCGCCACTTAAT